TCACCAGAAAACCAGCATAACATGAAAAATTGACTCCCCCCTTTTTAATCAGCTTCAAAGGTTACTCCAATCTTACTAATTTCCAGTGCCAGGCCATTAAGCAAATATTTCTCCAAGAGGTGGTGAACACTGCAACTGTTCAATTGTTTGCTACAAAATGGTGTTTCTAAAAGGCCAGATCAGTAAGTGCTATTCCTTGTAGATTCTTTACTCCAGAGACTTGGGGGCATAGGAGGGTACAACGTAAGAGGAGGTAGTACATCGTGGAAAACGAAAATAGGGATGAGGACCAAATCGTTTTACAGATAGCTGAACTTGTTCCCTTGCTGACTCACCTCACAACTGTGGGTTGAAAACGCTCAGAAAATCAGAGTTCCATTTTCAAAAAGAATTCATGCTATTGGAATTATTTGTAAAATTTTGATGTAATCACATAACAGGCAGAGAGTTTGGTCCTTGGTATTTCTTTCCTTCCTCTATGCAATAGAGCTCAGTGGGGTTCACACAGTTCTTCACCCACTTCAGGACCATGAGCTGAACAACTGTATTCAGACACCACATCTGTCCCTACTCCTCCCAGACTTGCTTCTGCTTACCAGGTACCTGTGGCGCTGACCACGCCCGTTTGGGCGTGGCCACAGGTGCCTACAGGGTGGGCTTGTGGGATTTAGGCCTCAGGACAGGCAAGATCGCTCTCTCGGGGTTCCGGTGGGATCTTGGAGGGCAGCTGAGATTGGATGCTTCCAGCGCTGTCCCTGGGTTATCGGTTTCTCATGTAAGTGATTTCTCCCCAATAAAATTAACGTACGTCACCCTTATCCCATGTATGGTAATCTTATACCAACATAAATGTGTTAAATCCATACCCAAAAGAAATGATTTTGAAATGGGAGAACAATAGAGCAAGGTGTGTGGCATATGTGTGATTGATGGTGTATGGCTCTCCCTTGAGAATGTAAGCTTAGTATACATACAGAGGCTTATTTGGGGGGCAGGGGCGGTAGAGGTGGGGAATCTAGCAGAGATTTGATGTCTTTATGGAACTGAAGTTTCAGAATTACAGATCTCTTAGATTAAGACTCTGATGTCAAGGACAAAGAACTATCTAATACCATTTGACTAGATTTTCCTTTAACCATTTATCAAATTCTGAAACTACACAGAGCAAGAAGGTAAAACAGCTAACAGAAAGCCTTTGAGAAGCAAAACAGAGATTTCAACTAAGAAGCAAGAGTTCAAAACTTTGCTGACAAAGGGCCCAGAGAACCCACTGTCCTCACATTTGGAAGCTGCTGTATTGGTACACCTCAGCATCCAAGGAGAATTGAAGTATGCACAGACTCAGGTGTAGGTCTAAACTTAAACAGACATGTACCTAAATAGAGTAAGACAACCACAGCCATTGTTTCTGTATAAGAAAATGGTCAAAGAGACAAAACATTTATAGATTTTGGCGATAATTAAATCACAATAACATCCAGTCACAATTATTGTACATATGAAAAGATGATACTATATGACATAAAATAAGAGAAAAATTAGATATTACATGTAGGGCTAAATGTGATTCCTGTAATGCAGATAACAAAGATTTTCAATGAACAAGTACTAATACATTATAAAAAAAACAGAGGTAATGATAAAGAATTTCTTCATAGAATTGGAATTTATAAAAGGGATCAAATGAAAATTCTCAGACTAAAAAGCATAACAGCTGAAATTAGTATCTACAGGAGAGCACTAAGGAAAAAATTAGAAAATTTGGAGAAGTCTACTAGATATATATTTTAAACATCTATAATAAATTTAATTTTTACAAAAAGGAAAGAACATGAGGAGATAATGCCCAAGAATTTACAAAATGGATGAAAATAACTACTTACATGGAGCATCTGAAAGGAAAGTATATTACCTTAAAAAGTTTACCCCTAACCCCTTGCCCTTACTGCCTCCTGCTGACAAGGAGTGGACCCTCCCTGAACCTTGTCTAGACAGCACAGCAGAGTTGACTGGTTGGTGGAGCTGTGGGTAAGCCAGCCCGGAAGTCGTAAGCCTGGGAGAGCAGTCCCTACTACTTGTCTGTCATGAGGCCGCATGCCCCTTACCACTCAACCCTCTGCCTGCGACAAATAGACAAGGGAGCCGACCAGACCAGCTGGAGCACTCAGGAAAGTGGGCTCTACAAGAAGAGCTGACCCTATTAACAGGAGTATGGTGAAATGGTCCCAAGAGCTTGAGCATGCGAGATCGGGCCCTGTCCTTCATCTTCCATATGGTGGTGTGGATGGAAGAGAGATGCCCTTTCCCCACCACTCTCTGCCTATCGAAAGTGGGAAAGCTGGACACGAGGTCGTAAAAGCAGGAGAGCTTTCCTGCCCCTCACCAGCTGCAGCTCTCGGGAGAGTGTCCCTTGTACCTTGCCTGGGCAACACAGGAGAGCTGGCCCTGATGGCATAGGTGTGGGAAAACAGACCCTGACAGTGTGAAAGCAGGAAAACTGGCCCTGCCCCTTGCTCATTGCTGCAAGGGGTGAACTAGCCAGGGCAATGGTGGAGAGCTCACCCAGGACAGGGAGAGCTGGCAGGCTGACGAACCCTACAACTATCCAGGCCCAGAACCAGGGTTACGATCCACCCCAATACCTAGCCCATCCACGATCTGCAGGAGCATGCAAAGGGGCTGGTCCTGCAGACCCAAAGCTGTAGGACCTCCAGGACACCTGGCAACAGCAGGATATCCAAGAGGAGTCCCATTGAGGGCCAGCATCGATACTATAGCAGAAACCAGAGGCCTCAAACCAGATCAATGACTCTTTGCAATGAACACTTGGAAGTAAAGATACATGGGCACAGGGTTTACTGCATGACTCACTGTGTAACACCACAGCTTCCGTGACAAGATTTTTCCTTTTTTATTCTTTTCTTTTTATCTCTTAAATTTTATTTTATTATGGGGGTGGTTGCAAGAGCAAAGGGTAGATATGAAGGGATAGGGAAAAGAATGACATTGAGATGCAGGATGCAAATAACACAAAGAATAAAAGGAAGTTAAAAAATTATCTCTAAGAATCAAATATACAGTAATCTCTCAACAGAACTTCTAGAAACCAGAGGATAATAAATGATGGGTTAAAATAATGAAAGAAAACAGCTTTTAATTTAAATAACTACATGCAGTGAATTTATTCTTCAAAATGGGAGGTGAAATAAACATGTTTCAAGCAAAACTGGACTTCTATTGGGTAATCTCCATGGGAGAAATATTAAAGAAAGTTTTTTGAAGAGAAAGGTTTTAAATAGAAAAAAATGTAGAAATAAAAGTAGGATGGTGCAAAAATGGAGTATTGAACATAAAACAGTAATAGCAATGCCTTTTTTGGGTTTTGAATATGTATATAAATGAATACAAAAGTTATCAAATGAGTTTAAAATATCAGAAAAGTGAGAAAAGATAATTCATAGCAGAATGAGATCATGGCTGAAATTTTATGACAACATGGTAAAATAAAAAAATAAAAGTTAACAAATGAAGAAAAATAAATTCAGTTTAACTTTTAAATCAAAGATGATCATAGGACCTGGACACATGGGGTAGGGTCTAGGCCTGGCCCAGGATGATGTGGTAGACTTTGAGGAGCCCCTTTTGAGGGCCTTACCCTGCCTGGGGAGTGGAGGGGGAATGGCTAGGGGCAGGTGGGATGTTGGGGGGGGGAGGGAGAAGGGATTGACATCTGAAGCAAGCTTGTTCCTAATTTGAACTAATAAAATAAAACAAAAACAAAAAACAAACAAACAAACAAAGATGATCATAGGAGAGGAAAAAGAAGGTTAGTGCATCTAAGAAAACTGACCAGTATCACAGAAACACATCATGCATAAACAAAAACCCTGGAAATTTAGGTTTGATTAATGTAAGTGAACTAAAGTTCCTACAAATTTGTCTTAGTCAATCTATGGTTCTGTAGAAAACGAATGTAGATGAGCTGGCTCATAAACAACATTGGTTCAATTCCTGCAGTTCTGCTGGCTGGAAGCCCTGGACAGGGTACCAGCATGGTCAAGTTTGGAAGAGGATGTTATGCTGGGTTAAGACTGTAGTGTATCCTTCTGTGGCAGAGGAGGAGCTAGCTTTCTGCCCTTTTCCTACAAAGGCACTAATTCTGTTGATGAGGGCTCCAGCCTTGTGACCCAGTCACTTTTCAAAAGCCCAACTTCCTTACACCATCGTGTTGAGGCTTACATTCCCATATGTAAGTTTTAGGGGCATGCAAACACTCAGAACGTGACATATTTGCAAAGGTGAAACAAACTGACAATTGTGATAATTGGCAAGTGAGGGGACAGGGAATAGGTAAAAAGAATTCTGTTCTAAAATTGTATTGGAAATATTTCCAGTGGGTATATTTTATTTTCCTCCTGATTGATGGTCTATGTGTTTTGTGCAGAGAGTACACAAGTATGTACATGTACACATGTGTGTGTGTAGAGGCCAGATTTCTACCTTGGATGTCACTCCTTTGGAGCCATCCATCTTGTTTTTTGAGACAAGGTTTTTAACTGCGAGCTGGGACTCACCAATTAGTCCAGGTTGGCTAGCCCGTGAGCCCCATCCTGCTGTATCAATCTTCCCAGCATTGGGATTATTCTTATGTGGATTCTAAAGCTCAAACTCAGATCCTTATGTTTGTGTGGCAAGTACTTTATCCATTAAGCCTCTCCCCAGCTCCTACCTATGAGTTTAAAAGAAGTAAAATAAGACATAATATTTTGAATATTTACTTTTTATTTAACATAATTTCTTTATTGATTGGGATTTCCACATCATGCACCCTGATTCCACTCACCTCCCACCCCTGCTCTTATAGGTAAGTTTTATATAAACAATACATTTCCTTATAAGGTCCTCATACATTTCTTTTTAGTATTATATTTAATATTAGTTATCAAGTGGATTTTTTAAGCCAGGCAAGACTCTGAGTTTTATTCAGTGGATCTCTGGGTCTAGAAGAAGGTGTTAAGCCTCTTGGTGGTGAAGTGTGGCTTGTGCTGGCACCGCAACACACGGTGAGGCAGCAGGAACTTGATCTTGGAATCGTGGAACTGCTTGACAGCTGGCCGTTGGCACTTGCCCGATGCAATCTCTTCCACCTTCATGATGTGGATGCAGTGTGTACGGGCACAGTGCTGGGCACCCATGTCTCGGTAGCACTGTGTGACAGTCAGGTCCCAGTACTCTCGGCACATGTTGTATGTGCCATTTCGGGAGTCATAGTGAAGCCAGATGGCAAAGTTCTTCACCTGCAGTGGGACCTCAGGTCGCACCTCTCCACAATGTACTATCTCCCCGGATGACTTCATCTTCTTCAGCTGGGACCAGAAGCGGGACTTGGCCACCACATGGTTGAGCGCGAAAATGCGCATAAGGTATAGTGGTGGTGTGTGGCACTTCGGGGTGAGCAAGCAGCGCCCCACCACCTTGTACTCCCGAAGCGTGCCTGAGGCCTTCATGGTGGTCCGTCCTTGTTTGCTGCCAGCCACAAAAGGCTCAAGTGGATTTTATTATAGGATAACGAATAGATCTTACTGCTCATTTTGCTTTCTAAAAAGTTATTGGTTATACATACAGGAAGCATAAAATTTATCATGGGTTTTCTTATAGGTAGCTACTTTATTGGACCAAATAGCTTAATTTCATCTTCTAGACAGTAGGTCAAGTTAGCATCTTGGAATACTTAGATAGGCCTCTTTCTTCACGATATGAGGGCATATAATGCAATAGACTTTCCACCTGTGACTATTAATTACATCTAGTCAACCCACGTTATTGATACAGTTTCTATTTTTGCTAGTACAGCTCATTTTCATTGTAGTTCCATATATTCTTTCCTATCTCACACAGATTTTAAATAGACATTATAAAAAGGAAATTTATTAATATGTTACATTTTCAAAATGGTTGTCCTCACAGTGTTATGGCTTAGAGTTGACTGACTGTCCTAGCTATCCAGAAGGAGCCATTGATATCTTAAAGATTTTCACATGAATCTACATATTCTTTCTTCACCCTGATAACAAGACTCATGAGGCTCTCACTCCCAACAAGTGAAGAACAGAGTCCCATGAGAGGACTGTCAGAAAATAGCCTTTACCAAAAGGATCTCAAAGCATTTTCCATCTCACAAATAGTTTTGTTTAAAACAGATTCTGGTGAGAAGCCAAAAAAGTACAAGTAGTGGGGGAACTGTCTGCATTTTGAAATGACAGACTTCCTCCAATTGTAATTAGCATTTAAAAGACTTTCATAACCATTCTATTCAAATATACCACCTTTGTAGCCATAGTAACTCTTTTATATTTAGATTTGATTGCAGCTACACGTCTACTTGAGCCATTCATTTCATCTGCCTCCTACAGTACCTGGTTTCTTTCCCCTTTGTTTTTTCTAATAGAATCCATTTTTTTTTAAAAAATCAGTTCTTCATAAAGGATGGTACAAAAGCAAAACAAGTCATCATGATAAGTGCCCAGACTATAAAAACATCCCCTATACTAACAGGAAAAGTTAGAAGTTGCTGCTCTCTGCAGACATCAGAGAGCAAGTTGTTTCATCCATTTCAAACTCAGTGCCTTTTTCTTCCTGACTGCTTCTGTAATAATACCCACTTTGCTGCCTTAAGTCTTGGAACTCTAAAATTCAAGATTCAGGCCAGAAAGATAGCTTCCTCCAAAAACGACTAGGATCCACATGCTAGAGAAACTTTAAGTGCCTGTTGTATGTCTTTTTATGTATAAAAGAAAATGTCAAACGAGATAGGAGACATAATATAAAATTTGAATTTCTGTCTGTGTCTCCTTTTGTGTCCATGCTTCAACATCTGATTTTTTTATGTTTATAGACTTTTTAAATTTAGAATTAAAAAAAATGTTCTACTTAGAAATTCAGAGCAGAGAAACTTGAGAGTTTATCTTGCTAGAGTCTTTACCTTACAGTGAGAAAACTGAGGCTACAAGGAAATGAGAGACCAGTCCACAGCACACCTCTAGGTAATGGACAGCTGCCTACCCACCAATCCCTGAGGAGTCTGTTTATTCCATGACTTACCCAACAGTCATGGGTAAGTAGGGAAGAAAGGGTGGCATTATAACAAAAGAAAGATTAACAACAGAAAGGCATTAACAAATTTACTAAAAGATTTTAAAAATATTTTTAAGATGTTTATTCATTTCATTTTATGTGTATGAATGTTTTGTTTCCCTGTATGTATGTGCACTGTGTGTGTGTGGCACCAACACAGACCCCCCCACCCCCCCCCAAAAAAAACATATTGAATCCCTTGGAACTGGAGTGACAGGCAGTTATGAACTGCCCTACATGGAAGCTGGAAATCAAACCCAGGCCTCTTCAAGAGCACCAAATACTCTTAACCACTGAGCCACTTCTGTACTCAAAGTTTTATGTTCCATGGGAGCCATCAGCAATGAGGACTAAAAGACCTAGAGAAAACTTCATAGAATTTTAGTGGTTGGGTCAGATAAAGAATGGACAACCAAGTATGTAGAAATTAGACTGGGCAAAGTGGGATGGCCTAAGATAGTGCTCTATCTCAGTATGGCCATAGTCCAAGTCCTAGCCAGAGTCCTGACTTGAGGTAACAGAGTGTCTCCAATAAATAAGGTCCTGTCATTCAAGTCAACAATAAAGTGGGCAGTGGCAGAAGTGCTGGGCAGGACAATGTGCTGTGATGGAAATCAAGAATTTCAGCACATCTTTAAGATGCTGACATGAATTTTAGGTTTAAATGGAGGAGTAGCTGGGACAGAGAGCAGCTCTGCCTAATCTATGGTTTGATTGGTCAGTATCTCAGTCCTACTCCTACAAGGTGAATCCACAAGAACCCTATTGCTTGATGGTTTCCTGTGATAACTCTTTGGGTGGGGGAGGGGGTCATCTAATCATGAGGTAATACATCTGTGAGGCTCTGCTGTCCCAGAAATCCAAGGTGACTGTAGTTTTAAGGCAGGATCTGGAGACCTGCTTTTTCAGGGGGTCTTTACAAGATGTTGCAAAACAAACTATTTCATTTTATTTTATTGAAAAAGGAATATTGTAGAATAATTGGAAAAATAGTGAAGTGTCTCAGCTGTTCTTTGTGATTTTTTGCTTTAGATGGGTATGAAAGAGGTTAGGTGTCTAGCTTTTAGGTAGGATGACTCACCTGCCTATGTTCAGAGTAGAGCAAGACTTTCCCAGAATGAAAGCAATAGATACAAAATAAAGTCAGAGATAGCAGCCTTTTCTCCTGCTTTTAGTTCCCTTATGGGACCCAGAGGAGAATCAGTGCTTTTGGGGAAACAGTTTCTAGGTAGTTGCTGTAAAGCTTGTTTGCCCAGATTCTTCTTCACCTCTCTGTGTAGCTTTACTTCCTAACAGGCAGGAAGCATGGTCTTGCCTGGTGATGGGCTTCAGGGAGAAGGCAGAGTGGGCCTTTCTAATGTTTGTGGATTGCTTTGAAGGATGATTAAAAGAGGTAGAGTGTTGAGGGTGTTAGGCCCTTCCAAACCCTTTTAGTCCACAGTACTCAACATGCTGTGCTATCTTGAAATATCAGGTTCTGAACCACACATCTGTATATTTTTTCATCTTATATTTTATATATATCAAATTTCTAAAAAAATTAATATTCCTTAGTTTGAATTATCCTAATGTATGAGTGATAGCACACATGCTATACCCATTAACCTGGTTTAAAATCCAAGGTCAAATGAAAGTGAGGCAATAATCTTTTTGCTTCACATTTTTGGTAGGAAAATGGTTTCATGACATCTCATTGACCTTCAAAATTCTCTTGGAGCAAAGACCTGCAGACTCAGTCATATATATCTTCAGTCATGAACAGTCTCCTAGAATGTAGGATTTTGCTGTTGTTGTTTGTTTATTTTTAGGTTTTTACTTTATGTGTATGAATGTTTTCTTACATGTGCATATATGCACCACATGTGTGTACAGTACCCACAGAGCCAAGAAGTGTCTCTCAGCTCTCCTGAAATTAAAGTTACAGTTGTGAGCTGCCATGTTGATGCTAGAAACCAAGCCTAGGTCTCTGCAAGAGCAACAAGTGTTGATCACCACTGGGTATTCTCTCCAGTCCCTGGAATATTGTTTTTAAATAAAGTTATTCTGTTTGATACCACTGTTGGGTGGATGAAGATGGTTCTGACCATGCTGTGTCCTTGTCTGATTTTACTGACAACCAAGTGCAAAATACAAGTGTCCTTGCTAAACATACAAGTAAAAAGAGCAAGTCAATATGATGAATGATAGAAGCAATGTATGTCAATAATTTCTATGATAAATAGTGGGACTTCCATGTAAGGCCATTCCATTATTGACATCATTCCATCACATGTTATATTGACAGCTGTCAAGAATAGTCTGCTGCCAAAAAGAATGCTACATCTGTGTCATGTCTTCAATCAATATGTCAAATTAATACATCAGCTTTAACCACTAAAGCATTTGTTTAAAAGTTAAAGAAAATGTCATTTATTTAAAAGAACTCTCCAAACATCTCGGAGTTAATTTACATAATGTATCAATAAAATGTTAATAGAAAAAAGGACAAAAACTACAGTCATTTTATAAGATAAGAAATAATATTTGGTAAAACCAAGCATGCCTTCATGCTAAAAATACTAAGTAACCTAGGAATGGTAAAGAGTTTAGCCAACGTGATAAAGTTCATCTCTGTAACCCTGTAAGCAGCATTGTACCCAACAATGAAAGACTATGTGTTCACCCTGAAATCATGAACAAGGCAGCTCTCACTACTTCTGTTCAGTGTGATGATATATTATTTATGATTTCATAAAGCTTGCCTGAGGGTTCAGAATCCAAAGCTAGCCACAAACCATAGAGGTCAGGCAATGGTGATACACATCTTTAATCCCAGCAGCCATACTAGCTAGCCTTAGAGTTAGGCAGTGGTGGCACACACCTTTAATCCCAGGACCCAGAAGACAGGCAGATACATCTCTGTTAGTTCAAGGCCACGAAAATGATCCATTCCTAAAGAGAAACAGCTCACACTTGGGATCTCAGCACTTGGGATCACACACCATTAATTCCAGCACTAGGGAGGTATAAAAAGAAGCAAAGGGTCTCATGTGAGATTCAGTTTATAGACAGGGAGAGTTATTGTCTCTGAGGATTTGTAGGGAGAGCACTGCACTCTGAGAATTCCTGGAGCCAGGATCACCCTTTCAGTCTGAGGCAGAGGTAAGAGCTAGTATCTGACCATCAACTTGAACCCCAATATCTATCTCTGGGTTTTTATTTTTCATGTTACAGTTCAGCATTGCAGTAGAAATTCTAATCACATCAATTAGGAAGTTAAATTAAAATTCTTCTGAGTGGAAACAAAGAATTAACTTACCTGTTACAAATGATGATATTAAATGTTGGAAATCCTAGAAAATCCTCTAAAAATCTATTAGAATGAATACATGGATTCAATAAGAA